GTTTTTCTTGTTTCTTCTCTTTCTGCCTTCTTTTCTTTTCTGTAGTAGGCAACTCATATAAAAATAGAGATTAAACGAAAGAAAAAAATTGTAGGCATATCTATAAATGTGTATAACAGCTGTTGTAAATATAAAGAAACAAAGAAAAAAGACAGGGGGCACTCGGGTTTGAACCAAGGACCTCTCGATCTGCAGTCGAATGCTCTACCACTGAGCTATACCCCCACGGTGCACAATAGTTAAGAATTTTATTTAACTTCAAAAATTCTGACATAGTATTTTTGCTTTTGAATCAAGAGTTCCATCTTTATCAGTCCAAAAAGAAGCAAAAAAAGGGAAAAGACTTTTAACGAACATTTTTACGTTGGTAAGGGAAAAAGCTTAATCGCAATAAAGCTACATTTTCAGCAGATTCAAGAAGAGTAGATGATGCATTAATAAAAAATAAAGTTTATCAGAAAATTCAATCGAGAAAGAAAAACGAAAATGGCGCAAAAATCGAAAAAGGTGTCAGTGTTTGAACTTACACGCTCTAAACTCGGCACGGCCACGGGCAGGACACATTACGTGCCCGTGGGTGTGAGCATGCGTGTGGCAAAGCCGCATTCAGGTTTGATTACATCATGTTTTACTCGGACTTTTCTTCAAGAACATGATGTAAAGAGTTTTTGAGGTTTTTATCAGCCCATGATCCCTTTAGAACCTTGCAATCTTTATCTGCAAATGTAAAAAGGCATGTTTTACGGAACTCATACATCAAATACAAAGGATTCAGTGCGAGTACACAGCAATTTTGGCTATACAATGTAAACCCTCCTTGCATTTTCTTGGCATAATGTTGAACTATTTTCGATCTGTTTTAAGTTAATAATAAGCTCTGAGACTTCCAGTCCAGAAATTTTCTATCTTTGATAAAGTTTTCTATTCCTCTTCATGGGCTTCTCAATTATGACTCGATATATAACGGGCATTTAATCTCAAAATAAAAGGTTGGTTTTATGATTCGCGCGTGAATATTACCAATAAGGTAACGTTTGCCGCATGTGAAGAAAACATTCACGCTTGAACTTACAGAAAATGTATACCCGTAGATATTATCGCTAAAATCAGTTCGTTATTAGAGCCAATCTAATATTCTCTGAATGAGGCGGAATGTCTGAGTTCAAACCTCTGTGAATCAAACAGAACCGAACCGATCATTGCTACATCTTGAGAGTCACTAATAGCAAAGCGATCTTACACCCCAGATACTTACAATCAATGTCGCGATGAAATCTTATATTCGGGCAGCGATCGCTATAGAGTCGCGGCGTGATTTTGATCAATTCTTACTCTCAAAAAGAATCTTTTTTTAAGAGTCACTGCGTGACATATAATCGCATCACGATCGCTATAATGTCCCGATCTCGCGGCATACTTAGCCATAGTTAGTCATTTTTGCATTGCAAGAGCGCAAAAGAAGATTCTTTTTCTCTTATTTCAAAGTGAGAATTTATATTTCGTAGATACAAATAGATAGTCTACATTCTGTTTATAACATAATAAACAGTATATACTACGTGTCTATAGACACGTGTGTGATTGAAGATACAGTAAAACCTATCTATTGTGGACAACATCGCGACTTTTCAGAGACGTTCACTATAGGGAGGTGTTCACTTTAGAGAGATGATGCCTGTTTTGCTGGGAAATGAAGAAAAGTTCTAGAATGTCTGCTTCTACACTAATCCTGAATTAATTATATTGTTCATCTTTTAAAGTTAGCTGGTGTCGTGATATCGTTCTTTTTTCGGACGTATATGTCGAGAGCCAGCAAAGTATGTCTGAAAACCCTCTGCTCCAAATAAAATCACGCATTTCAATACTCCATCTTTATTTTAAAAACGAAAAAACGGAGAAAAATGTGCGTGTGAACGGTATGACTTCAACTTGAAAAATGAAGACGTTGCACCGGTATATATATACGAGTATAATGGAAAAGGAAAAGAAAGTATAGGACGTTTGGCATATAGTAAAAGAGAAAGAGATAGTAATATAACAGTTAAAAAGAAAAGTATCATGCAACAAAGAGAGAAAGATGATATGTGCAATATGTATGAATGTGAATGATGATCACCCGTCTGGCATGTGAAAGGCCATGGGCTGTAACAGCACAGTAGTCAGTTTTAGTACGTAAAGCGTAATTAGTATCAGTACAAAGAGACAGAAGATAAACAGTAGAGAGAGAGAAACATCGCGCGTATGTTCACATTAGAGAGGTTATAATAGCAGAAGGGAGTGAAAAAATAGTGTTCATGTTCAGAATACAGAGGTGTTCACATTAAAGAGGTGCATTTCCAGCAGAAATCGCTCCGTCGGACCTGAGAGCGTGTTCACTGAGGAGGTGTTCACTAATAGAGGTTTTACTGTAACCATTAAATGGCATTTTATTGTCTGTGTTATGACCGTTGCATAGACAGACAAAAAACTGTCATTTAACGTTTATCATTTAATTCACCCTTTTGTTTCGCTGACCTCACTACTATATAAATCATGCTGTTTTCTCATAGAAAACGTAGAGTTTTGTTCTTTTTCGACTATATAAGGCATCGAAACTTGTATTGAGAAAATAGCCACTGGTTCGATGACTTATCTTAGATCATACCTAGAGAACCGAAAATATTCCAAAATTTGATAAGCTACTTATTTCATAGTAGTGGTTGGAAAGAAATTAGTCATGATCAACAGTCGGATCCGTGGCCATAAATAGCCAATAGTTATGTTAAAATGGTCATTAAACCGTTATTATTAAATGCATGTTTACGGCCTGTTTCTTGGTCGTTGCAAAATTACCACTTTTAGGCATTAATACCTTCCCAGTACTGAAAAATGGTATTAACTAGCTAAAAAATGTCATTTAAGACACATTTTGTGGACTGGTAATAGACAATAAATTACACCATTTTCAACATCCTGGGTTTCATTTATTTGCCAAATCAGAGTTGCTGTTTATAAACATACTGTAGAAATCTCGTTTATTTCTAGCTATGTATATGCATACTAAAATTATATCCAAAATAAAATTAATAATATTATTTTCTTGTTTTATTTTTCCTTTTTCTATCATTCAACACCTCTGGAAAAAATAGTGTCTCGGATTAACTCGATTTGGACACGTTGATTGTCAAAGATTTTGATAAGAATATCAGACACAACATACAAAGGATATATAAGTAAGAAGAAAACGAGAAATTATGTGTTACAGCAGCTGTTTAGCCTGCAAGATGTATGATTGAAATTTGAGATAGTGGCATTTTCGAAGAAAAACTGATCATTTCTACGATTATGCAATATTTAAGTGGTTTGGAGGTGCCTAACTCGATAAAGTAAGTATATGTCAGTCATACAACTAACTGATTGATCGGTTGATCTACGCTTCTATTCTATGGTGTTGAAATGTAATTTTATTTTCTTATTTCTTGTTTATACGCCCTGATAGAAGACATAGTCTAATAAACAGACAGACTACGTTATCATCTGGAAAACTAGTCTAGTTTTATTTACTCTTTTTAATAGGCAAAGAACAAAATATTACAATGAAAAGCTTCTTTTGTTGATTATTATATAAATGAGTAAGATATAATATTTGCTTTTTATTTGGAAGTCTTGTAAAGTATCTCACTTTACATAGAGAGGGGAGTTCTACGAGGCAAACTTTTCCGTTATCACTTAAAAATGGCCATGCTCATGCTGTACAAATACCTTTTAGAAGAACCTATTCAAGATAAATATGGTACATCCCATAATCGGTCATGGTGAACAAGACTCCTTACATCTTCATGACAACTCTCTGAGAGAAAAAGCGTCAAATTTTTAAAAGTAGCATATTATGAAGTAAATGTTTGAGCTTTTTTTGATATAAAAAGTTAAAAGAATGTTTGTGGAATTGCTGTTTCCTATTTGTTTTCTAAAAAAATGCTTAAAAAATGATCAACTCTAGTGTTGAACATTTCATAAAAAAAGAGGAGAGCAGTTGAAGAAAACTTTGAAGAAAGTTTGAAGTTTGAGTTTGAAGAAAATTTCAAACTCGACAAAACCATAGAGAGCCACTGTATTCACGAAACCACAGATTTCGTAGTCAAAACCAAACCCGACTTCGGGTCGGATTGCAGGTGTCTAGTTCCCAATTAGTTAAATCAATACAAGTATTTTAAAGACGAATCTGGTGACTTCCTGTAGCAGACGTATCAAGACAGCTGTGTCAAAGACGAATCGACGACATTTGAAGGTGTCTCTGTTTTGAAATATTTATTAATTCGAATTAGAGATCTCTAGAAATCAATCATGCACTTTCATCTGAACAAAGTCTGATAGTGCCACATTGTGGACCATATCAAGTCCCATATGTGGACAAATTTTAAGAACTAATCAACAGGTCTTCAGCGAGTTATAAAAATTTCGGTTTTTTATCCAGCTAGCATATATTTTTCCCAATAAAAAGTTTTAACACGCTGAAAATCTATTGCTTAGTTCTAAAAACTTTTCCACGTAAGAGGGCTTGATATGATCCACAATGTGGCACTATCAGAATTTGTTCAGACGAAAATGTATGATTGATTTCTAGAGATCCCTAATTCGAAAAAAGGTACTATAAGAGCCTATGGGAACTAAAGAAGATCAGATTCGTGATTAGCATCAAAAGTTCCTCATAATCACGCATGTTTCAAGGAAAAATCGATGTGAAACTTGGGGATCTTCCCTCGTCAGATTAGTGCGCGAATGTACAAGTTCTTCTCTCCATTTAAATGTATGCCGTCGTGTAGAACATTGAATCACTTAGAACACTGATTAAATGAAGAATATCAATATAGAAGTTAATGTAATTAGTGTCAGAAGATATAAAAGCATTGTTTAGTTCGTTATTACTACTTATGAAAACGATATATATAGCGTTAAACAGAAAAGACTTTCGTACTGAAAAATATAAAACAAATTAGAAAATAAACAAACGTTTTTAATAAATGAGAAAAGGCCTACATGTAAATAATTCAATAATTTTGACATATTGATGCAGTAAAAAAGCTAATGTCTTAGATTTTATTCTTTAGCTACCATCAAAAAGTGAAACCTAAAAATCATAAAAAATTTGCTACCTGTTTTGCACAAAAATGTGTGTTCTATTAAATGGCACAGTTATTAAAGTCCTAAGCATTGTTCTGAACCTGAGAACGAGAACAGATGGAGCTTTCTTGAAAACGCTTACATCTTGCAGGCGAAAAGCCTGAAAAGGCTTAAACTTTGGGTGCATACCTAATTTTGTCTCCTCTACAACACAAACAATCTGAAAGAAAAACTTGAAATGATCAGTGAGCAATTTCAGTAGTGACTTTCGTGCAGTAGCTAGCTGTTAGTGGCATAAACTTCATGCTTCTACCGTTACTACTAAACATAACTGTAACAAGATTTCGAGAAACAACGTTTTGTTTCTTAATTTATAATCATTCATCCCCAAATTCACTAATAAATTTTAATCTATTGTTATTAATATCTTCAAACAATAGTCTCTAGCATTACACTTTTACTGATGTTCATACATGATTTTGTTTTAGGAAATGGACGAAGTTATGGATCAATTTCGTACAGAAGATGCTGAAGAATTTAAACATTTACAAGCAGAATTGGAAATGGCTGGTTAGTTATTCATATGTGATTGAATACATGACGAATATAATCATTTGCTTTAGCTAAAAATTGTCGAATATTACAATTTAAATTACGGAAAGCTGAGAAAAAAAATGAAAATGTAGAAGTTGAAAAGAGCACAATGGAAGGTGAACACATTCTAGTTTGTATATTTCTTAGAAAACTAATTATGGCTTCAAATTTTTAGATAAATTATTACAGTTAACACGTGACACCTCTCGTGTGAAAGATTTAGAGGAAGAACTATTGGTAGCAAAAGAAGTTAGTGTCCGTTTACATGCTGAATTAGAAAAATCTGAAGAATCGCGAATAACAACAGAAAAATTAAATATGGCACTAAAACAACATTTAGATTCATTAAAAGAATGTCTGGATGAAAAAGTAGCGGTAAGATTAATATATGACAATAAGAAACGATATTTTTAATAAATTCTTTTTTAATATTTCAGGAAATAGCTGTTGATGAACTATCTGATTATAACTCATGGCATTTGGCCGTTAATTTGTATGAATCATTATTTCGAGAATATGTTCTTATGGAAGAAGTCAAGTAAGATTTTCTAATAACAATAATTAATGTATTTGATAGATCATTATGTTAATATAGTATACAAAAAAATCATTATTTTCTCATTCATTATCGTACACTCATATATTCTTCTGCTAACGAGGAAACATATTTAAGTGATACCTTCCGATTTCGTTCGTTCATACATCGATTCATAGAGAGTATCGAGCTAGTAAAAAGCCTAAAAGGATTTTCTCCATGACTGTTGAACACTGGATTTTAGGAAAAAAACAGTTTTTCAGAAACTCTATAAAATAACAAAACTTATCTTAACGAGGTATAATTGTAGCGTACAAATTTCTGATTAAAATAAGAAATCTTCCAGCTCTACACGACCTTTCTTTACAAAGTTAGAGAATTACAAGAAAAGTTCTAAATGTTCATTGCTAGCTCAAAGCTACAAAAATAAAAGGAAATTAATTTAGGGCTTTTCTTGTAATTCTCTAACTTTGCAAAGAAAGGTCGTGTAGAGCTGGAAGATTTCTTATTTTAATCAGAAATTTGTACGCTACAATTATACCTCGTTAAGATAAGTTTTGTTATTTTATAGAGTTTCTGAAAAACTGTTTTTTCCGAAAATCCAGTGTTCAAGAGTCATGGAGAAAATCCTTTTAGGCTTTTTACTAGCTCGATACTCTCTATGGATCGATGTATGAACCAACGAAATCGGAAGGTATCACTTGGATAGATTTCCTTGTAAGAATGTGGAAAAGTTCAATGACTTTGATCAATAAAAGATGAATTATCCGAATTGTCCACCACGGATGTAAAGTTAAAAATGAATTTTAGCAGATTTTGTATCATATTTCAATTAAATATCCGTTTAGATGATAAAAATAAAAGATTCCTGATCTAAAATGTTTTTCCTTTGTTTTTTAAGTTGGCTGAATAATTCTGGTCGTCAAACATCTGATACTAGTCAACAACTATCAGAAATATCTGATCTACTCAATTCTTATCAACAAAAAATATCTTTACTTCATCAAGAAATTACGTTTCTTAAACAAGAACTTTCTGATCGTGACAAAGATTTGTCAGTGTTGAGAGTACAGTATAAAATATTAAAACGTAGTCGATCAGCTGAGAGTCATTCAGTTGAATCTTTAAATCAAAATTCCAGCAATGGTAGAGGAAAACAGCGAGGTATAAATGGTACAAATAGTGAAAATGATGATGATCATCGTTCTCGACGAGGTGTCAGTGTTGATAGTGCATCAAATCTACAAAAACAATTAGAATCGGCTGAAGATGAAATAAAATTATTGAAAAATAAAATGTTAAGATTAGAAGATGAATTAAATAATTCCGTATTGGTCAGTATTACATTCTATACTAAAAAATGTGTGAAGAAAAAAAAATATATTTTTGTTGTTTCTTTAGGAAAAAGAAAGTTTATTGTTAAAAGTTGAAGAATCAGCTAAAATTAGTAAAGAAGATATAACTGAAGATATTCAAATGTTTACATCAAACATTGGTAAATGAAAAAAAATTTATATCAATATATAAAAGTAATATTCATTTGTTATCTTTCGATTTTTTAAGAAAAATTATCAACATTATTGAAAGAGAATCAATCTGATGAAAAAATAATCACCGAATTACAAAAACTATTAAGAACATCAAGATGGACGAAACAAAATTCGGTATATAATTATATATCAGATTTAAACATAAAATATGAATTGTTTATATGTTTTTATTCTATTTAGGAAGAAACATCCAATTCATTATCCGATGTCACTAAAGCGAGTCAAAGTTCAAATGAAATTCTTCAACAGGCAAATAATTTTCTTTCTATTTTACAAATAAAAAAAGATACATTGGAAAAAATTCGTTATCATTTATCAAATATACACTATGATGCAAATGATACATGTCAATTAATCGAAGAATTAGAACAAACAAAACAAGAATTTGATATAAAACAACGACTTTGTCAAGAATTACAGGTAACAGTTGAACAGTTACAAAATAATGTTAAAAATGTTACAGAACAATTGAAATTAAAAACAAGTGAATATGAGGAAAAATTAAAACATAATGAACAAAAAATGAGAACTGGTATGAAATGAAGCTATTTTTTTAAAGAATAGTTGAATTTTTTTAATTCTTTTTATCCTATAGTCGATGTTATTGAACAAAAGAATATTGAAATTGATGAATTAATGCAAGATCATCAGCGTCTACAAACAGTGAACGTCAAACTTAGTCACGATATGTCCGACATGAAGAAACAACTCGATCAAATGAAACAGTCGATATTAACTTTTGAAAAAAAACTTGACATTAAACAACAACGTGTAAATGAATTGTCAATTAAAATCATTGAAAAAGAAGATATTATTGAAACAAAAGTAAAAGAATGTCAAAAACATCGATTAGAATTAAGAGAATTAGAATCTAAATATTACAATTTGGGAAAAGAATTGGAATTACAGATAACAGCAATGACAAAAGAGATAGAAAAAATGAATGTAGAAAAAGAAATGTTAAAATTTGATTTGGAGTCATTAAAAATTAGTACAGCACACAATCATCAGCAACCACAACATTTAGTACAATTAAAAGAGGTAAAAAAAGAAAACTCTATCCCATTGGTAGCTTCAATCATTGTGCAGAATATAGAAAAGAGCAGCGAAATTGGTTTCTTGGTCTGCATAAAGAATGCACTTGTGCCCAAGTACTTCGCTTGCATAATGAAGCCAATAGTTGCCTTATTTTCAGAGGTAAATTTACTTTTCTAGTTATTTGCCCAAGTACTTGGTTGACTCAATGCAAGCAAATTTAGGTGTAAAACTTCAGCCACGTACTTGTTCCATTTGTCTTTATTTTGTATTTTGTATGTATTCTTCAGCCATACCAGGGGAGAAAAACCTCACTTTAAGTGCCTTTAAGTGTGTGCACCTCCAGGTTAAGTGTCACTTTAAGTGTTCAAGTTCTGCAGTGTCACTTCAATCTGCGCTTTTTCCCGGAAAGTCAAGAATTCAGCCCGATATGTTCCAAAATATAAAATGCATGGACTGCGAAATCTGTTACTTTTTCTTACTATAAAGACGAAAAATTACCAATCACTACGGATTTGTCGCCGTTCGTCAATACAACTTTCGCCACCAGACATTTGTCGGTCATCGGAAGCTAAAATCACTTATGATTTTACAGTAGCATCCACGATTTGCGACCAATCAGAAGCAGTCCATCGCAGATCTATCGTGACGTAGAGACTAAAGTTAGAAAATGTGGTTGTCCCTTTTTCTACTGAGAAACTGAACTGAACTGAGTTTCTGAGTCACCAGATCGTAAATTTTTCTATCACTCAATCAGAAAGGTTTGGTTCAGTAAAATCAGTTTCTCAGTAAAAAAAGGGACAACCGAAAATGTTCAAATGGTGAAAAGTGATTTTAGAACGAAGTGAGTGATTTTAGCTTCCCATGACCACATTTGTCAATTGGCGAATAGATATTCACCAATTCGCGAGTGTTGCGTGAACATTCGCCAATAGTTTAGAGTATCGGTGTAGTTTGGGTATCGTTATTGGCGAATGTCGATTAGTAGACTATCTTCGCAAAAAGGGACTAAAAAGAACGGCTACTGCTTTCACAAAAGTTAAGACTCGTTTAGCAAAAGGATTCTGATATTATTTTGGGAAAAAAACAAAAAGTGCTTATATACACACTTGTGAAAGAGCAATCGTAACAAAATCATTTTCGAGAAAACAATAACGTAATGTGCACTGTGAAAAAATTAAGCACAAATCAAAGGTTGTTTAATAAAGGGAGGTGATAGTCTCTTATTTTTAAACATTCAACACGGACTGTCATGAATACTGAGGAAAGGTATTGGCGACTATTGCCGAGACATTCGCCAATAATGCGGCATGTTGTGTGGACATTCGTCAATAGTTTAGGGGTATTTGTCTCGGCGACATTCAGCAACCGCCAATATATAGACGAATGTCTTTTGGCGAAAGGTGAAGTGGCGAAACGCGACTTTACCACCACTACTGCTCAAATCTTATTCAAACAGAAAAATAAACGTGACACTTGAAGTGTCACTTATAAGTGTGTGCACCCTTTTGAAAGGTTGTTTCCCCCTTGAGCCATACTCTACTTTTATAGAGCAGACACATGCATGGCTATCAGATTTTGTTCACTCAAGAAATATCCAAATTTGTTGCCTAAGTTTACACTGATTAATACCTTTTTATTTTTACCGGCCGCTCGTACCTTTTAAACAAAAAGCTTTTTCCCAGCAGATCTGTCTTAGAATAATTTGTTTCTATGACGACCGTGAGTATCAAAAAATAATTCTGAATCCGCCACTGAGAGTGATTGACTCATCCAAGTGCTTGGCTGAAGCGAATCAGGTGATCAGACTTAGACAAGAATTTGGGAAGTAAAAACACTTGACAAGTTCCCAGGGGATCATATCACGAAAAAACTTAAATCAACGTCTAGACTTAAGTCAGAATCAAGTGTTTAAAATTAGCACGTAAGTGCACCATAACGAAGACCTAAGTTTTTTTTGTGATACGGCACCCAGGTCAAAAACTCACGACCGTATACTATAGTATTTCATCGTATTTTTGACGTAAACCCGGCCAACATATTACGTCAAAATACGATGAAGTGTTATAGTATACGTCAAATTACGACGGCGTATACGACGGTCGTAATCAAGGGCCTGGGTTCTTGTTCAAGTACTTCCGAAGTACCCGGCAAGTAATCAAGTACTTGTATCAGGCACATTCACTAGGATTTGTATAATCTGTTCAGCGAAAAGAATAATTGGTGTTCGAATATTAAACATAATGAAGTCTTTTTAAATTTTTAACATGTCATCATCTTAGTGACCTTTAGTCGAAAGCAGGTCTGGACAAATGGGTGGTTCTTTTGAAAGTGTACCAGAGTTTACATCGACTTTATCCCAACAGTTCGAAAGTAACAGGACTAGCACTGTATCAGGGATGTGGCGAAAGAAAAAAAGTGGGGGGTGCAATAGTGAAGATCAACGTCATATGATCTTTTTTCTGGTAGTCGGTTTTTCAAACGAGCACTCTGAAAAACTAACAATTTTTGATAGTTTTGTTCTAAACCTATGCATATAATCTTCTCAACATAATCTAATGCATCAATCTACAGAAAGATCATTTATTCGTATTTTAGTTTATAATGTTATAATATTATCGAATAGTTCTAATTTTCCATATTTTCGCTTCTTTCAAAAAAAAGTGGGAGGGTGCGCACCCCCCGCACCCAGTGGTCGCCACATCCCTGCACTGTATCATTCAACTACACGCCTACTCCGCCTAATGTTCTGCACAGTTATTTCCTTTCCTCATATCTTCGGCAGTGTAATTTTACACCAAAAAGAAAAACAGTTACAGATGTTATATGGTACAAAATAAATATATGAATAAAACGTTTGTAATAAATCAAATCTCAATAGCGACAAGATTGATAGCATATTTTTCGATTAACTGATGACGCCGGGTTAATTGTTCTTTGCCGTTCTCTATAATATAGCACTGCATGTGGCTGTGACGTCAGTATTGAATCCATTTTTTGACTCCTCATTTTCTCTGGGAAGGTTAATTCGGAGCCGAAAATTTAGTCACAAATCCAACCTACTCCAACTCGGACATTGTACTTGCTCGCAAATCCTATTCACCGTTTTGTTTTGCTTATGCGTCTACTATATAAATCTCACTGATTTTTCGAAAAATTTTCAAAATCTTATCACATCTTAATAATAGCTTACGACATGACTAATATAGTCTAGCGTCACGCGTATGCCATTCGTCTGCGTTCGCGATGAAAGTAGCGCGGCTCATTTACTGATATTCGCTGGAAAACGCGAATAAACAGTAGGTATAGTAAAATACTTGAGAATCATCGATTTTGGTATGAGCGCGAAAAAATCGCGTCTTACAGCAAACGCGTTACACGATCCTGTCGCGAATTTTTAAAGAAACTCGCGTCCAACATGCGATAAGAAAATGGGCTTGGGCAGTCCTTGTTAGAAATCAGCAGTTAACCAAAAATATTATAACGACTACTCACTACACTGAGAAAAAAATGTAATGTTCTTATATAGTCTGTAGGATAACCGAATTAAATAGTTGATGAGTGTTAGGAACTTTCTGAAGAGTGGAAATGCTTATTCCTGAGAACACTCTTAAAATAGAGGATTTCTCAAGGTGTTTTCACTGAAGGAATTTCTAAAAAGTTCTTCGAAATTTAGGCATTTTTGCTAGTACTATATTATTTTAGTCGTAATACATCCAGATGACACTAGTACATCTTGCGCAAAAAAAGAATATATAATGTGGAGCAAACATTGACCCTAAACAAACAAACATTTTTCTACAACATGAACTATGAGAGTATCCTTCGTTTTGATCTAGTACTTATAAAAAAAAAGATTTCTTAAAAGTCTGCGATCGATCATAACCGATTTAGGGCTCTTCGTTGAAAAGTGATCGCATAGAGAACATGAAGACTTTCGACATAGCTCATCTTGTAGATAAATGTTTGTTCTAACAAAACTCATTTGTTCGAAAAATTTTGATATGCGTACTTTTTATGCAATCTGTTGCAGAAAAAAGATAAAATTTATTGGTTATAACCAGTGTATGCTTAATGATAAAGGAGTAAAGTAGACTTGAAGTTAATTTAACAATTTTTTCTTTTTTATTATAGGATAAACACTTATACGAGAATGATGAAATTCTCCGTGTTAAAGAAGAATGTCGTCAAGCAATGTTTGATTCGGAAATCGAATCTTATAAAACGCGTGTTAATCAATTGACGAAAGAAAAAGATGAATTAAATTTAACAATTGATGATGTTGAACGAAAATTCAAAGAATTACAGCAAAAATATGACGTTAGTGAACAATCATGGAATCGATCGAAAACCGATATGCTTGATAAACAACGAAAGGTAAATTGTTTTTCTTTTTTCTTCTTCTTAGTATGAATTATTTAATCATCAAAAATGTTTGTATTTCTTTTAGCATGAAGAAAGTATTAAAATGCGTCATGAATTACAGAATGCTGTTGATCGTTTACGTCAAAAGTTATTTGATATTGAAGTTCATTCTCAAGATAAACAAAATCGATATACAATCGAAAAAAATAGTTGGGATTTACAAAAATTGGAATATCAAAGTAAAATTAATGAGGTATGTAATGATTATTACTTAGTATTAAATATTAAAATTATGTTCTCTTCTCTTCCCATCTAGCTTGAAGAACAGTTAAGTAAAGTAACAAAACGTCAACGAAAAGATTTGGAAACAACGTGGAAGAAAGAACGAACAGATTTACACAAATCATTACAACAAACACAACAATTGTGTAAAGATTTACAAAAACAAATTAATAATAAGTATGAGAAAGATGTTTTAAAATTTGTTATGTTCTCATATTCGTTGTATTCAATCGTTTTAATTATTTTAGAGAAGTTCCAATTCATTTAACGGAAAAAATTAATGTTTTAATGACAGAAAATGAGTTATTAATGGCCAAGATAAAAGAGGTAATATTTAGATTCCATCTTATTGATAATTATTATAACTGATGATTGATTTTGATACCTTTTTTTAAGCTTGAAGTTGTCGTCGATGATGTTGAATTAGTAAAAACTGAAGTTCAACGTTTACGCGATAAAAACTCATCCGACTGGCATTATTGGCGTAAACAACAAAATGAGCTATATGCACAATTGAGTCAACATGAACGAACGAAAAATGAAATTTTGCACAAATTTGATAAACTACATAGAGAAGTAACAGTAATGAAGCTAAATGTTGAGTAAGACTGTTATGAACATATTTTATATTCTAGGTAAGAGATCAACAAATGAACAGAAAAAGTACAGATAATTCTGATCGTTCAATTCGTGAACAAAGTTTACCTTTATCGTTAAATAGTTTTCAACCGTCAAAAAGTTCCTTGGGGGATGGAGGCGTTCATGGAAAGACTTCATCAATATCAAATTATAGTCGTGAAACATTGGCAGATGGTGATAATTCTAGTCATATTCTAGATTATGTAGCACCTTCTACAGAGTCTCCACATGAACAAGACACATATCGAGAGATTGTTGGTCATATTGATGATGAAGTGAATAGTAGTATAACAAAACAAAAATTATTTTCAAAAGCGTACCAAGCACAAGAAAATGTGTGTAATAGTTTAGAAGAGGTAAATTTCTACAAACTATTGAAAATATTAGCGATTAATTGTAAATTTTCCGTTTTTTTTTATTTGTTTAGATTGCCAGTAAAATTGATAAAGTAGAAGAGAATCTATTTTCATATAGAAGATTTATGGATTTTATACAGATTCGAGCGTATGTAATTCATTAAACCAACTTTCTTCATCATGAATGACGATTGTCGTCAAAAATATCGATTTTTAGGAGGATACATAGTTTAGTAACCCAAAAGTCTTTTTCAAATACACTCATTTTTACGCCAGACTTAGTCTTAAATTAAACCCTAGCGGAACTTATTATCTCAAGATCATAGGGAAGAACAAGTACTTGGATGAATTTTAACACCTAAATTTGCTTGCATTGAGTAAGCTAAGTTCTTGGACAAGTATTTGTCTCAAATACATTCACTAGGGTAGTAATCAAGATCTTGGCAAGAAAATGTAAGAAACTTCCAGAATCCACGATCATTAACGTCTTGAAGTTTTATGAGTTCTTGTTTTAACGAGGGCAGATCTCCAAGTGATAAATCATTTTTGCAACGAAAAACATTGAACTATATGCAATCGATAGCGTTGATTCGCGATATGATCATCGGGACAGCAGTTAGGCTTTTCTACATCCGGTTTTCCAATGCAAAACTTTTTTTGGGCAAAAATTCTTTTACAGATTTTAATTTTAATCTGTTCAAGTTATAGAGGACATTGAATGTTATAGAAAAAATTCTTTTTGTGGCTTTAACACATGTTTTTACTGAGTTAGAATTAAATTAGTATATCAGACAAAAATGGGTATTTTTGCCAATACTTCACAATTTACAATGAGAAGACTTTTGGTTTCTTAAACGTCATGTCAGATCCGACATTAGCGTGAAAAATTGATTAATCATTTGGGAATATTTCCTCGTAAGATGTTGATAATTGTTGAATCAGCGTTTTGTTTCACGTCCTTGCTTACATATATCTGCGAAAATTTTCTTTTCTTGAAGACAGTTGCTCAAGGATGAGCCTATAACCACATATGATTGTATATCTAATGATTATGTCTGTCATATAATATAAGAAAGAAAATGTTGAAAACAATCACAATACTTTGAAACATTTTGACTCAATTCAGTCAAGATTTCGAGTGCAAGTTTCAAGAATCCAAGATCTTGAGTTCACATGTGTTTTTTCCAAGATCTTGAGTATAAAAAGTTCCATTAGGATAGGCATTTTAAAAACTTTCAAACTGAAGTTTTTTTTGTCTCTTTAGTCTACGCTGATGTGCTCATCCGATAAACTCTTATATATATCATAAATGAACATCATGAGAGAGCCTGCGGGCACTGTAGAGTTATTTTTGACTCTAGAAATGGATACTCTATCCTTCTCTACGATGAATGACTTGTTGTGTTTTCTAATAAAATAAGAAATAATAAAATTTTCTTTGCTTTATATTTCCTCATTTAGAATCAAGAATAGTCAGTTTCACAGAACAGTCATATAGATGAAAGTATTATATGTTCTGTAAAATAACGAATTTCTTTATTTTATTAACGAGAAAAAATTTCTTTTTAAATCTTTGATTTAGTTTTGTTTCTTTGGTAATTTCGATTCTTTGCTATTTTTATTTGAAAGTTTATAATTACTATTATAAAGGCATATCTTAAACTGATATATTCTCTTCTTTATCTGACCTAATGTGAGAATTACTCACTTTAAACACATCTAAATAACTATATACATTGATTAATGATATTAACCATTTTGATTAATGACCATCCAAATAATGTTTCGCTAGCTTAGTATTACATTTTAACGGTAAGCTTGTTAAAATGTTTCACAATTTCAACCTCATTGTTCCGAAAAATGGTTATATACCATTTTTGTCTCATAAATTAATATAACACTTATACCAAAAATGAATTGATACTAGTCAATGAATGGTCAAAAATTAGAACAATTTATCAGCTATTCGTGTTGAATAAGAATTTGAACGATGACGAACGACGAGAAAAATAAGAAATGAAATATGATATTTGTATTGTTTCCGTCAGGCAATCATTATTCAATGATGAAATAGGGACAAGGATTTTTAGAGAACAGAATTAGAGCTAAAAAGAGAACGGTTGCCTATTTATGGTCAAAGGCGGCTATAAATTTCAGGGTGAGTTTTGACCGACCAACGGGATATATCTAGGTTTGTAGAGGAAGACTTTCTCTATCTAGTGGTGTATATATTATCAAATTTTGTTGCGTACCGTGAGTGAAAATTAACGGTAACCTCTCTTTTTTAGACTTTTTTTAGATATACTTTTTATTTTTAAGTTAAATATTGCGCATTATAAGGTAAAGTGTCCTCTACAAAATAAGACCACTTTCAACTCTCCAAGGCCTTTCATTGGGGAGATACGAATTTTTTAAAGGTTGTTAGTTTACCCTGAAAAAATCCTAGTTTTTTACTTTCGAAACTTTTTTCTCTTTCATTCAGTACTTGAAGGCTTTTGAAACAGTCAGTCTGGTAGAGTAAAGGTTTATCAAGTACTGAATGAAAGAGAAAAAAGTTTCGAAAGTAAAAAACTAGGGTTTTTTTCAGAGTAAAGTAACAAACTTTAAAAAATTCGTATCTTCTCAACGGAAGGCCTTGGAGAGTTGAAAGTGGTCTTATTTTGTAGAGGACACTTTACCCTATAATGCGCAATATTTAACTTAAAAATAAAATATATATCTAAAAAAAGTCTAAAAAAAGAGAGGTTACCTTTAATTTTCACTCACGGCACGCAACAAAATTTGATAATATATACATCACTATATAGAGAAAGTCTTCCTCTACAAACCTACGTATATCACGTTCTGTGGTCAAAACCTTATAGTCGTCTTTGAAGTGATTAGAGAACGGTCAGAATTATAAAACAAAAAAGTCGAAAAGTGAACGGTTCAGAATTCCGAGTTCAAAAGACTAAAAAGAGAGCGGTCATATGTTCGAAGAGTGAATTATGATCTATATATATCTCGCATTAAAGGAAAAAAATGTTGTACAAAAAAGTGTAAATATATATGATATTTCAAAAAAGTAGAGCGAGACTAGATTTTTTTTGTCTACCACGTAGGAAAATATTCTATGGAATTGGAGTTATACATTTTTGTAACACCTTGAAACCATCTTAGTGCTAATATTTCTAATTCTTTACTTCTAACAACATTTTGCGAAAATCCAATCTCAGAATATGGTTCTTTTACTATTTACGTATCGATGTGTAAATATGAAGAAGCGTGTCTATGAAAAATTCTACTTTAGAACTGTACAAATACAGTGAAAAAATAACTTTCAAAAAATCGTTCTCTTTCCAGTCCTTTGCAAAAAAAATTTATTTTTGCGAAACACATTCTCCTTTCAGCCCCGTTCTCTAAACACCGTAAAATTTAATACTTCATACTCCGTTCTCCATTCAGTCCAAACTCCGTTCTCTTTTCATACTTTTTCCATGAAATAGATACAGCTGATTATTAAAGACTCCTACGATATTTCAGATATAATTATTCAGATGTGTTTAAAGCGAGTAATTCTTACATAAGTTCAGATGAAGAAGAGAATAATACAGTTGAAGATATGCATGTATAATAGTAATTAACCTATTTTCCTAATCAAACTTTATTCATATTTTATAACTGTATCTGTTTTGAGAAACAAAATTAAGTCATTCCTCAAAAGATATACTCTTTAATTAATATATATTACCAAAAAACAATGACATTGAAAAAAATATGTATTTGTATTTCTTTTGAGAATAAACGTTTTGATTCTTTGCTTGAAAAAAAATATGGAAATATCATTCTCATTATGAGTGACTGACTAGTTTCATTGTTTGTCCTCACATATAATTAAATATCATGATAGACAATACAGTTTCCAAATAACATACGCTTATTCTGTCAAAAAAAAAGAAAAAGATTATATAATTGTTGTATGTATATGTGTTGTCTTGTACATTCTCCTGAGGATGTTTGTATATATGACAATTCGGATGACATTTGTTAGTGTATAGAATCTTGTTGTATATTTGTAGTGATTTGATTAGAGATGAAACATCCTTTTTGCTTTCTTTTCATCACGAAAATAAAAAAAGATTCCAGCAAACACTTGTATAGAGTACAATATACATCAGAAGAAGGAAGAAATAATTGAATGAATGACAAAAACATATGTATATCCTATTTAAACGAGAGTCATTATACATTGAAGGTGAGATTAAAAAGAAAAAAAGAAAACCATCATTTCACATTGATCAGTGTGATAAAATATTAAAAATTAAGAAGTGGAAATCATACGTATCAATGGGACTTAGTTGATAATTTCGAACTAACAACTAAAATTAGAAAAAGTTATAGAACTGCTTGGAGTGTGGTGACGGTAATGGTGTTCAACAAACAAAACTGAAAACTTCAGTATTGTTTTTATTATAAACTTCTTATTTCAAAGTTTTCGCTGTCTACTCTCGTTGTATGTCTTTCAAACTATTTTTATCTGTTTTTATTCTAGTAAATCCGAAAAAAGTTCAAGTGTCGTTCGAGATGATAGTTTCAACGATCTATACCGCCGTCAACAGGACAATAATAAACAACGTTTAGCATCTGCACCGCCGGAAAACAACGCCAATAGTGGAGTAGGACGTCGTTCGCGTTTTGATCGATTAGATGATCAAAATCAACAACAAGACTCTATATCATCGAACGAAATGACGAATTCCACCATTGTTAATGGCTCGTCAGCTACTCCCAGTAAAAATCGTTTCTTTTCTTTAAGTCGACGATTTCGTTTTCGTATCGGTTCACCGGATTCTTCATTATCTGCTAAACCTCCTTGTTCTCGCGGAAATAATGTTCATTTTCTCGATGAAGATATCGATATGGAAGATCCTCAACATCCCATTACGAAAAAAGATAAAGAATCACGACCTTCAAAAGGTATTTTAAAAACATTAAGACATCGTTCACCATTTCGTTTTCGATCAAAAGATGCAATTATCACGGAACAAGATCTTCCGAGTCCAATAGCAGAGACAGCACACGAAACTTCACCAGAACCAAAGTCATTACCTTCAAGTAAATCAAAAGCAACGATAACAGTGACAAAAAATAAACGTTTAGTTGAATTAAAACCTCCTTCTACAATCACGGCGCCTAATCTAAAACCAGTTAGTAAAACAAAAATATCAACGACAAATGGTACAACAAATACAAAAACTCGTCAAAAAGACGAGACTGATGAACAACGTCATTCGTCTAATTCGAGTTTATTACGACGTACTTCTGGTCTTAAAGACTTAATTCATAAATTTGAAAAATCAGAAGATGGTTCAAAACCTGCAAAACCAAAACGTGTCACAATCGACATTAACGTCAAAGAATGTGATCAACAAACAACATTAGTGAAAAAAGCTGTCAGTTATTCTGATTTACAAAATGGTGGAAATGATGAACAACAAGACGAACGTCGACGTGCTCCACCTCTAACAAATAAAGCAAAAACAATTGATATTCCTGATCTTTTACGAAATGTTGAAAAAGAACATACACCAAAATTAGAGGTGACCACAGCAACATCAGATAATAAACTATCAGCATCAAAAAAGTCAGTCAATCGGCAACAATCACTTAATTCTTCAAGTAGACAGACATCAGTTGAATCAGCTAGTTCACAAAGTAATGCCACTGAAGCAGGAGGAATAACTAGTGAACGACGAAAATGTACATCAACAGCAAGACCGTTAATGTTATCTGTAGTAAGTATTCCATCTAAAGAATTAAATAAATAGATCCTTAAAGTAGAGTTATTAGTCATTTCTTTTTGAAATGACAAAACTATTTCAATCATGATACTAGATCAGAAATTGAAAGAAATTTAAAATGTCTTACACGTCTGTTTTTGAATATTTGACAAAATTTCAGATTGAACTAGTGAATCGATCGCTCACCGTTTATTAGTTCTATCTGTAATTAATTATATTAGTATATATCGTGAAGATTCTGACGAATAGAACTGATATATCGGAATATAAATGTATACCATGAATCTTTACTACCCTTTGTCCATTATTACAACATGTACCAAACAATAAATCATTTCTTTTTTTAAATTTTAGAGCAAAGAAGAGTCTTAATTGTACGGTGTGTTATTCTATATAAATAATTCTTCGAGATGTATATTTGTCAGTGATAATCAAAATTTATGCAATGATTGCTTTTTCTTTTCGTTTTTTTAATCGATTTTTATTATTTTCAATCATTTTGTATGATTTTCTCAGATTTTTAACGTTTTGTTTTACGTTATAAAAAACAAAAATTGAATAAAAATAACATAAGAGTTAGTCTCTTATGAAAAATAGTACATGTGTACATACAGCGATTTATCGTTTATACAGTGACCATCTAACATGAATGATCCCGGATACGCTGACACTAACCAAAATATAGGTGTCAGTTTTGAGGACGATCTTCGAGATCATGATAAATACTTTCTTATGGATTTGTGTCTAATAAAGTATTATTTGCCTAACATAGAATCTATTTGATTTAGCTCGATGAATTAAGTCTCTTCAAACTGATGAATTGAAGAATTTTAATATTCCAGAAATAGTATTTTATTTGTAGTAGTAGTATTGATGATAACGGCACTCATTATCCAATGCATGATCCAAAGTTACTGGAGAATGTTTTAAATTGTGTCAGTTCGATCAAAAAACGTCTTGTAGAAAAACTAACAACTCTAATACCTCGAATTTATGATCAACAAGTGAAAAAATTTGTAAGTACTTTGTGAGTTTTCATTAGCAAAATTAAAGAGTTGTTGTAGTTTTTTAGAGAAGGAAGAATATAATTGTCCTGTTTGTTGTATTCCTTCTATTATAATATATTTGTGTGTCTACAGTAGCCAATTATTTCCAATTACAGAGTGATTCGACATTATAAACAGTGTACAAAGTCTGTGAAAAGAACAAACTCTCTATTCCAAATTGAGACAACATTTTATTTGTATAAAGAAACGAGAGCATATATGCATTCCAAATTGAAATCACTTTTTGAATCTAATTAATAATCGCCAAAAAAAAGTGGTCTCAATCATAAACCAGCCATCTAATCATAATTTCTTTTTGGCATCTTGATTATCCATTAACATGTCAGAAATATTATTTTATGTATTAAAATATGGTAGAAAGAAAGAAAGAGAGATAAAGAGCGAAGTATAAGAGGAAAATGACCTTGACAGTTTTAAAATCTTTTATTTTCAAATCAAAGGTTCTATTTTTCTTTTCTCTCCTTCATCGACACGTATAATGACACTGAACGATCGGTAATATAAAAGATTCTTTAACCGAAAGTCGATAAAGTCTCTGATCACGGCCTAAAATTTCTACATCATTAAGATCGATTAAATGGCCTATCTTTTGAACATGCTTATTCAAAACCGATTTAGGCTTATGTCCTGGACTATCACCGAACCGGGAATTCGAATTTTCATCTGTTGAAATTTGTTTATTAGCGATACGACTACTATGGTTGGTTGTAAATTTTTGTTTCATACGGTCCTATTTTTATTAGTTTTGGACTTTTGTAAATCATTAGTTATTTATATTGTAGCTTTTGAAGTGTTCTTATTATGTTTATCAATACACCGAATTATCTGGCGTATGGTTATGCCGATATATTTCCCAGCTGGTTTACCAGGGTGTTTTACGTATGTTTCAGCGGTTACATATCATTTGTTGCTATATTCCATATTCGTTGTTATACGTTAAATGTGAAATTGTAAAAAATGTTTTTTTTCGAGCGAATTATGAATCTACAGTCGGTTTCTGAATCAATATTGTAATCGATATGTGAATATTTAAATATTTCGAGCTTTACGAATTTATCCTTAATGTGCAAACGATCTAATTTCTCGTAAATACTCAGAAGAATCATATAACCGTTTTTCTGTCCAACCTTGGAAGGTTCCATATTCCTTTCAAGAGTATAAACTTTCAAGGGCTTGGCAGAGAGCCATTCTTATTACAGAGTATGTGTGAGCAGCTAATAGGTAAAAAGAAGAATTTTTATATCCACGAGTCAACGTACATTTCGGTTCCAAAATACAAAGTTTGAAAGAAAAAATAAACTTTTCAATCCAAAAAAGATGGTCTTTCACAAAAAGATGGTTTCATTCTAACAATCTGCCTTATAACCGCTAAGCCGCGAACCATCACAGTTATCATAATTCTTTTAAGGTGACATTCTAAGAGAACACTCTCTTTGAAATCTATCAGTGTCATTAAATAGATCAGTAAATAAAGAAAAGTTATTCCTCACGTTTCTCCAGAATCTGCAACATCTTATATATAAAATTGGTTTGAAACTTATAAGATTCTTCTCAGAATTAACAAATTTTTTATTGATTAGGGGACTCAACGATTACAAAATACTTTTATACATGTACAGAGATCCGCTCTACTAACTAAACTAAACTAACGAGGGAACCTCACCAACTGATACCCTCCGGGTGAGCTCATACTTTGCTCATAGGTAGGACTCATAGTGTAGATAAAAGCTCTAAAAGGATTCATCCCCTAGACTCTTGA